GAACAAATGCAACTAAAAGTGGGAGCAATATGCAAAACCAAGTGTGGGGGAATACAAAGTTATTCTCTCAGGTGCAAAAGCACATAAGTAGTACTAACACCAATCCACAGGACAGATAAAAACCGTACTCCCAAGAAGGTTTTCTTGACCTTATGTTCCGCAACTAGAAAATGATCCAATACATAATGGACTTCTTGTAGAAAAATGATAAAAATATCAAATGTTCTTCGAAGTCCAATACAGCCAAATAGTATTTTATTGAGTGGCATGCTGTTCTACCCAAAAAGTGCAACTGTAGGAAAAATTGGTAAAGTCCAACCTAATATGGAGATGATTCAGCCCGAGAAAGTTATAATCAGCCCAAGGGATGAATCAGTGGGTTCTGTAAGAAGATGACCCATGGTATGATTTCAGAAGGATATAGTTTAAGGGGAATCAAAGCATGAGGCAACTCAAAAGAATTAGAATTGAAGGTTTTAAGTCTTATTTGAGTATTCATTAACTGTCCTTGAGGAATCATTAATGAAATCAAGATAGAATCAATAAGAAGGGCAAACATAAGGTAGTTGAAAGGTGCACGAATGGCTGTTGTGAGAGTTACTCAAGGAGATGGTAATGGAAATCAAAGAAACATTAATGAAGAAGGGAGTTACTCGAGCACTTAATGAATGTGAGTGAAGATCGGCTTTAAAAGCCAGAAGGGAAGAGAATAAAAAGACGACGACCAATACACCATAAACTTATTTCTTTCCTTTGTTTTCATTTTCTTTTCTTTAGTTTTCCTTATGTTACTCTGGCAATGCATTTCTTTTAGTTTTAATTAAATGCAAATCATTTACTTTATTTTGCCTTCTTTTCATCGCTCTTGCTTTATTTATGTTATTTTAATCAATCCTTCTTTAATTTTTATTGCCTAATTGGATAAAATTCAAAGGACCATGTCTATTTTTAATCATAGAAATTGAGAGAAAGAGAGCAAGGGGTGAAGGAGAGCAGGGAGTGAAGCAGCGTGTTTTTCTCCCCAGCAAGCTGCCGCCGCCAACAATTCTTTTCTCCTTGGAATTTTTCTCCTCCATTTGGCCTCTTCTCTTAAGGTAAGTGGGATTACCTTAGATAAATGATCCATTATAATTTCTAGATCTATTTCTGTGTAATTTTAGTGTGTCATATTTTTGTTTATTTTTGTTTTTGTGCAGGTGCGATTATTAACTATGAATGATTCATTCTTCATTTTATATTTAGATGAATAGCTTTTAATTATTTTGGTAAATTTTATATTTTCGTTTATTTTGTTTTTGTGCATGTGCGATTATTAATTATGGATGTTGCAAGTGCAGCTCTCATTCTCATAAGATTTTCATGCTTCTTGAAGATAAATTGATGCTAGTTGGTCATTTCACCTCTCTCTCATCGTATTGCACTTTAATAAATGCAATTAATAGGCGTGGATGGATCTCTCTGCTACTGGGGTAATGTATCAGCTTCATGTCAAGGAAATGATTAACAAAATAATATATTTTTCTTGTCTTATACATGTTGCTTAAAGTTAATCAATTAAACATGTGAAATGGATATTGTTGATTTATTACATATCACGCTCACATTACACGAGTCAACATTCAAAAACTTGTGGTTGTATTTATATTTTTACTTGATTGTGTCGTGTGAGTGTGAATATGTAATAACTCAGCAATATCCATTTCACATGTTTAATTGATTCAACTTTAAACAACATATATATAAGACAAGAAAATTATATTAATTTTTTTTCAATCCTTTTGGTGACATAAAATTGATACATTATCCAAGTAGCAGAAAGATCCATCCACGCCCGTTAATTGCATTTATTAACATGCAATTGGATGAGAGAGAGGTGAAATGACCAACTAGTATCAATTTATCTTCCAGAAGCATGAATGTCTTATGAGAATGAGAGCTGCACTTGCAACATCGAGCTCATTCACCTATACGATGTGCTACTTCATGAAATATAATGCTTTGTGAAAATTTTACCAAAATAAAAGCTATTCATCTAAAATATAAAATGCTGAATGAATCGTTCATAATTAATGCACGCACATGCATGCACAAAAACAAAAATAAACCAAAATATGACAAGTACAAATAATATCGCACTAAAATTACATTGGCATGTGTCTCGAAATTATAACGAATCATTTATCTAAGTTAATCCCACGTACCTTAAGAGAAGATGCCAAATGGAGGAGAAAAATTCCAACGAGAAAAGATGGTTGACGGCGGCAGCTTGCTGGGGAGAAGAGAAACACGTTGCTTCACTCCATGCTCTCTTTCTCTCTATTTCTATGATTAAAAATAGACTTGGGCGCTTTTAATTTTATCCGATTAGGCCCAAAATGACCCAATAAAAATTAAAGAAGGATTGATTAAAATAACATAAGTAAAGCAAGAGCGATGAAAAGAAGGCAAAATAAAGTAAATGACTTGCATTTGATTAAAACTAAAAGAAATGCATTGCAAGCGTAACATAAGGAAAACTAAGGAAAAGAAAATGAAAAAAAAAGGAAAGAAATAAGTTTGTCTTTTTATCCGCTTCCCTTCTGGCTTTTAAAGCTGATCTTCACTGTGCTCGAGTAACTCCCTTCTTCATTAATGTTTCTTTGATTTCCATTACCATCTTCTTGAGTAAGTCCTATAACAGCCATTCTTGCACCTTTTAACTACCTTATGCTTGCCCTTTTTTTTTATTGTATCGTCATTTCATTAATGATTCCTCAAGTACAGTCAATGAATACTCAAATAAAACTTATAGCCTTCTATTCTAATTCTTTTCAGTTGCCTCATTCTTTGATTCCTCTTCAACTATATTCTTCTGAAATCATGCGATGTGCACCTACAAGATATAATGCTAGATGAATTTTTTTACCAAAATAAAAGCTACTCATCTAAACTATCAGCTGAAAAAAGAATCACAAATAATAGGACATGCATGCACATGCTAAAACCAAAAACTTATGACCAATACAAATAATATCGCACTAAAATCACACTGAAATGCTTCATTAATTGATATTAGTTGAATGTCATTTATTTGGAATCGGTTGAAATTTCTTGAATATAATTTGTTTGAAATTGGTTGAAATATATTGAATTTAATTTGTTTTGTTTGAAATATGTTGAAATTGACATGTATTGTGATTGAAATTGATTTAATTTAATTTGTTTAGTTTCGAATGGGTTAAAATAGGCCTAATTTAATAATTTATTTGGAATTGGTTGACGTCGATTTAAAATAATTTATGTTAAACAATTAGCTGAAATCAATTTAATATAAGTTATTTAGAATCAATTTATTGTAATTGGTTTTGATCGGAATTAGTTTACTGTAATTTGATTGTAATTGGGAAATGAATTAACGAGGGATTTTGCAAGGAATTCAATGAGGGAATTGACAAGAGATTTAGTGAGAGAATTAGTGAGGGATTCTAGCAAGGGATTTGCGAGGAAATTAGCGACGGATTTAGTGAGGTGATTTGCAAGGAAATTAGTGAGGGAATTAGCAAGAAAATTACTGAAGGATTTTATCTAGGGAATTAACGAGGAATTTAATCCACTGAAACACCTAAAAAAATCGTAATTAAATCCCTCAAAAAATTCCTGGCTAATATCCCTAGCTAGCTATAATTTTGCGACAGGCGAAAAAGAATCGGTAAGTGTTCCAACGAAAGGATCTCCAGAGAATTGTTTTGCGTTAGAAATTCCCTCGCAAATTCAGTTTATTTAGGGATTTTATCGCTTAGGAAAGGAATAATTCTCTCACTAAACTATAAGTTTTTTTTGTAGTGGCACATAGGACACTATTACTATATACTGATTGCCACGATAATTAACCAATTAAAGGGGAATTGCATAGTTCCCTTGGTATATGCTACTATGTGAGAAAAAAAAAAAGAAAAAAAAGAATGCATACCTGTTTGGTGAATATGATCTTGATTAAAAGCATACAAAAAATGACATTCTTAGCTTGAAATGATCAATATATATTTAAGATGACTTTATGTTGTTTGATTTTATGCCCATTTTACTTTAGGGCAATTTTTTTTTTTTTAATAATACACAAAATTGAAGTTCTTAATGTAAAATCACATCTAATCTCAATACAACATTGCAATAGTAAATACATATTCTACCATTTCAATCTTCCATCTCTCCTCGAGACCAATCCATACTATTGTCATTGTGGTTGTCCTTATCTATTCCAATTAATGCCATACAAATCTACGTCCCTAACGTTAAATGTTCTTGCAATTTAAATCTCAAAACTTGATTAGAAGCCAATTTATAGTGCTCGAACCAAACAATAGATAAATATATATTTTGCTATTCTTAATATTGTTTTTTCCAAAAAAATAAAAACAAATCTATATAGTTGCGATTTATTTTTTCAACACAATTACTTTACTAAGTGAATTCACATCTCAAGTGTTGTTTTATAATTAAACCACCCAGTCCACTAATTGTAATGAAAATTTAAGATAGTTTATTTATGGGATCTTATCTGATTTTACTATTCCAACTTTCATTTCCCTCAAAAAAAAATATATATATATATATATCAAAACAAACACTAATATTTTATTTATTTTATTTACACCGCAAATATTCAAACAACATTAAATTTTAATTTTACATTCAAAACAATACATACTTTATCACATAAAACAACTATTTCAATTTAAAATTTGACTATTCAAAACCAAAATAGAAAATCATAATCTTACAAGTAAACACACCATAGTAATAATTGAACAGATTATATGTAGAAACATAGTAATTATGGACGCTTCTATAATTTGCTTCATATTATACTACTACGCCACCAATTAAAATAGTAATTGCATTAGCTCTAACCGATTATAATAAAAGCCACAAAAGATTTTTGAACCAAACGTAGCTGCCATGAAAAAATGTATACCTAACGGCAATTATAGTTTGCTTTCGTCATTTATTGGACTATATGTGATGTATAAAATTGACGACATCTCCCTTAATAAGCTGTGATAAAATCCACTAAAATTCTAGAACAAGTTTGATGTCCCCAATGTGATACATTTTTACTCAACTAGAAAGTATTCTCAACGCTCAAACCTAAAATAAAAAGAATCAATGCTTGTATTTTTTTTAAATGGATTAATTCTGGTGCATTGGCTGGAAGCAACTACAATTAATAAATGCCACCAGATGCTCCGAAAGCCGATGCAAGCCCCACCGAATGCAATTAGCACTATCGAAAACTATTTTTCACAAATGAGAAAATCCAAAATTTGAAACAATCTAAATTTGGCGAACGGGAAAAAAATAATCACTGATCAATGGAATGACCAGAGAATGCATCGCTGATGCACGTCCCAACCAGAAAATGCATACTTAATGCATTGCTAACACAGACAGAGAGTGCATCAATGATGTCCTGTTCAACGGTAAACTTTCACACCTCAAATAGAGTCCCGATCCTAGCAAAACCGAACAAGCCTAAATCTGAATGCCTCAAAAACATTATGACATCAAAAGGCAGATCAGCCAATACCAAAAATCTGGTTATCTCTTCCGAAAAACTCACAGACAATACATCGGAAAAATTTGGATTAAAACCATAAACCAAGATATACAACTAAATAGAAAAACCATGGTAAGAACATCTCACAGGAGCATCCCAAGATTTAAAATTTCTGGACTTACCGGGAGCGTTTTTATTCTTCCTACCCCATTCCAACCACTTTTCCCCTGCTCATAATAAGAAGCAAAGTGAAACTCAGAATAATAAACAAAAGGCTTTAATATAGATGCCCATCCTCAAAGGTATATTTATACGTTGGATCTTCTTGTATAGTTCCGTAGCCTCTGCAGACCAGTTTTCCTCTTCCTAACGCAACATAACTTTATGTTGTTTCCACAACGCCGTTTCAAATTTTTTTTTTTTTTAAAAGTGCTTCTTCCTTTCTTTATTGACAATAAGGATGCACATATTACATATATACATATATAGTGTGTGTGAGGGAAAGAGTGGGGATGGAGTTATGTTTGGTAAGTGACAGCGTGTAAAAACTGCACGCCAGCTGCAAAAATGTGAACACAAAAAACACTGCCCACACCCAATGAAATTTTTGCATAATTGTTGGGTTTGGCTCTCTATCTATGTAAATAATAACGTATAATTTTGATGGAAAGCCCATCTTGACTTTGAAGGGAGTTAAGTTTGGCAAGTAGAAGCCTGTAAAAATCGCAAATCAGCTGGGAAATTGTGAACAACCCAAGCATGGCCAACACCTGAAGCAATTTTGGTATAATTGATTGGTTAAGCTCCCTTTCCATGTGGATAATAATGCATAAATTTATGACAAGCCCAACATTCTCACCAATTTGAAGCCATGAGGTCTGTTGTTCATGCTGTTCGAGATATACTAGAGCGTGAATATGTAATAAATCAGCAATATCCATTTCACATATTAATTGATTCAACTTTAAGCAACATATATATAAGACAAGAAAATTATATTATTATTTTTTTTATCCTTTCGTTGACATGAAATTGATATATTTACCGAAGTAGTAGAGAGATCCATCCAAGCCTGTTAATTGCATTTATTAACATGCAATAGGATGAGAAAGAGAGGTGAAATGACCAACTAGCATCAATTTATCTTCCAGAAGTATGAATGTCTTATGAGAATGAGAGCTGCACTCGCAACATCCAGCTCATGATTCACCTATACGATGTGCAACTTCAAGATATAATGCTTTGTGAAAATTTTACCAAAATAAAAGCTACTCATCTAAAATATAAAATGCAGAATTAATCGTTCATAATTAACACACGCGCAAGCACAAAAACAAAAATATGACGAGTACAAATAATATCGCACTAAAATTACACTGAAATGTGTCGAGAAATTATAACGAAATTTATCTAAGTTAATCTAACTTACCTTAAGAGAAGATGCCAAATGGAAGAGAAAAATTCCAACGAAGAAAAGAACGGTTGACGGCGGCAGCTTGCGGGGAGAAGAGAAACACGCTGCCCTGCTCTCCTTCACCCCCTGCTCTCTTTCTCTCTATTTCTATGATTTAAAATAGACATGGGCCCTTTTATTTTTATCCAATTAGGCCCAAAATGGCCCAATAAAATTAAAGAAGGATTGATCAAAATAACCTAAATAATGCAAGAGGAATGAAAAGAAGGCAAAATAAAGTAAATGACTTGCATTTAATTAAAACTAAAAGAAATGCATTGCAAGAGTAACATAAGGAAAACTAAAAACAAAGAAAATGAAAACAAAGGAAAGAAATAAGTTTGTGGTGTATTGATCGTCGTCTTTTTATCCTCTTTTCTTCTGGTTTTTAAAGCTGATCTTCACTCACATTCATTAAGTGCTCGAGTAACTCCTTTCTTCATTAATGTTTCTTTAATTTCCATTACCATCTCCTTGAGTAAGTCCCATAACAGCCATTCTTGCACCTTTTAACTACCTTATGCTTGCCCTTTTCTTGATTATATCGTCATTTCATTAATGATTCCTCAAGTACAGTGAATGACTACCCAAATAACCTATACAAATAAAATGGCACTAAAATCACACCGAAATGCTCCCACCTTAGGAAACATCATGTCACAAGCCAATGGCAGAACCAACATATAATTAGAGAGGGGTAAAATTTTTTAATTTACAAAATAATATTTTTATTTATCAAATAATGGAGTATATATTTTAGTTTTAATTTAGTAAAAAATAATAAAATACAGTGACATTAGTAACTGTATATTGTAAATATTTATTTTTACTTTTTGAAAAAAAAAAATACAATTTCTCATAAAAGAAAAAAAACAGTTTAACAAGTGATATTCTTATTATACATACATATTTAAAAAAAACAAATAAATAAAATATGGGTGAGGGTGGGCAAAGGGGTGCTTGCACCTTAGGCTGCAATCATGAAATTACCTTATTAACTAGGAAACAATTCAAATTCACTATTAACTGAAAAATCTTGTAACTTTATCAATCACTCTCAACATCACTATGTCCTCTTTCCTTAATTGATGTGTTTTGAAAAATGCTCTCCATGAGCCACTCAGATGGCGCCTTTTGCGCACATAGGACACTATTACTATATACTCATTGCCACGTTAATTAACCAATTAAACGAAAATTGCATAATTCCCTTGGTATATGCTACTATGTGTGAGAGAGAGAAAAAAGATGCATACCTGTTTGGTGAATACGATCTTGATTAAAAGCATACCAAAAATGACATTCTTAGCTCATAAAGATTACCCGTCTATGCTAGATATTCGATAGCAACATATATTGAAGATGACTTTATGTTGTTTGATTTTATGTCTATTTTACTTTAGGACAATTTTTTGTTGAATAATACACAAAATTGAAATTCTTAATGTCAAATCACATCTAATCTCAATACAGCTTGCCAATAGAAAATATATATTCTACAGCATACCAATCCATACTATTGTCATTGTGCTTGTCCTAATCTATTCCAATTAATGCCATGAACAAATCTACGTCTCAAATGTTAAATGTTCTTGCAATTTAAATCTCACGACTTGATTAGAAGCCAATTCATAGCGCTCCAACCAAACAATATATAAATATATATTTTGCTATTCCTATCTTTTTTTTCCAAAATAATAAAAACAAATCTATATAGTTGCAATTTATTTTTTCAACACAATTACTTTACTGAGTGAATTCATATATCAAGTGTTGTTTTATAATTAATTCACCCAGTCAACTACTTGTAATGAAAATTTAAGATTGTTTATTCGTGGGATATTATCCTTATTTTACTATTCCAATTTTATTTGGCCTAAAAAACATCAATTCAAACACATACTTTTTATTTATTTTATTACACTAAATTTTAATTTTAAATTCAAAACAGTATATAAATACGTATTTGTATCACATAAAACAACTATTGTAATTCAAAATTTGACTATTCAAAACCAAAATAAAAAATCATAATCTTACAACTAAACACACCATAGTAATAATTTAATTGTATAAATTAAATTGAAATTTAATATAATTAGAAACAAGAGATTATAAATTTATCTATATATATGTACAATAAATAATCACAGAATGCCATGTAAAGTTGCGAGTTTTTTAAAAGCAATAGTGATAATTATGTACACTTTTATAATTTGCTTCATATTATACCTACTATGCGATCAATAAAATAGTAATTGCATTAGCTCTAACCGATCATAATAAAGACACGAAACATTCTTGAACCAAACCTAACTGCCATGAAAAACTGTATACCTAACAACAATTATAGCTTGCTTTTGTCATTTATTGGACTATATGTGATGTATAAAACTAACGACATCTCCCTTAATAAGTTATGATAAAATCCACTAAAATTCTACAACAAATTTGATGTCCCCAATGTGACACATTTTTACAGTTTGAATATTATGACTTAACTAGAAAGTATTCTCAATGCTCAAACCTAAAAAAAATAAAAATCAATGCTTGGTTTTTTTTTAAATGGATTAATTCTGGTGCATTGGCTGGAAGCAACTACAATTAAGAAAAGTTTGGTTGTACTTTCTGAAAACTAAAGATGAGGTGTTTGGAAAGTTGAAAGAGTGGAAGAATATAGTTAAAAAATGGACGGGTAAACAGGTCAAGACTCTAAGAACTGATAATAGGTTGGAGTTGTGCAACGCTTCATTTGATGATTTCTGAAAGGAAAAAGATATAGTGAGGCACCGCACTGTACGACACACACCACAGCAAAATGGGATTGCAGAGGGTATGAACGAAACCCTCATGGTGCGTGCTAGGTGTATGCGCATATTTGCTAGCTTATCTAAGCAATTCTAGGCTGAAGCATTTAACACAGATAACTATCTGGTTAATAGATCTCCATCAATTGCGATTGACTTAAAGACTCTTTAAGAGGTATGGTTCGATAAACCCTCTGATTACTCTAATCTCAGAACATTTGGAAGCCCTGCATACGCTCATGTGAATTATGGTAAACTGGACCCGAAGGCGGTAAAATGCATATTTCTAGGGTATGCAACATGAGTCAAAGATTATCGACTGTGGTGTACAGAAGATAAAAATCGTTGTAAATTTCTTATTAGCAAAGATGTAACCTTTGATGAATTTGTTATGCTTGATCAGAGTAGAGGTTGTAAAAGTATTACAGATACAAAAGATTGTGGTGCTGACCAGAAGGTGGAGTTTTGAGACTTCTGACAAAGTAGTGTTAGAGGAAGAGCAGCAGGATGATACTATTGATCAATCTGGTCAACCAGATCAATCAAAACCTTAAGGGAAACTGGTTGAGCAGGAAACTAGTGACACTGGTATTGAGGTTGAAGATTACAAAGCAGTTAGAAAGGGATAGAGAGATATTAAGGATGCATCAATACATGTGACATGGATTCTGTGGCTTATGCATTGGCGGTTGGTAAGATCTTGGCTCTGATGATCCAAAGACATGCAAAATTTGTGGAGAATAAAGACGCAGAAAACTATATTATAGAAATGAATGAAGAGATGCAATTTCTTGAAAAGAACAAGACTGGGGATTTTATTACATTAAAAAAATGGGTGAAGCCAGTGTGATGCAAGTGGATCCTTAAAAGAAAAGAGGGAATTCCTGATATTGAACCTACTAGGTTCAAGGCGAGACTGGTGGCAAAAGGGTTCTCAAAAAATGAAGGAATCGATCACCATGAAGTTTTTTCTCCTATGGTAAAACACAAAACCATTGAAATCTTTTGACAATGATAGGTGCTTTTGATGTGGAGCTGGAGCAGCTTGATGTAAAATCAACATTTATTTATGGTAATCTAGAAGAACGGATCCACATGTCTCAACCAAAGGGGTTTGATAGTTCTAAAGAAATCTCTATATGACTTGAAGCAGTCTCTGAGGCAGCGGTACAAGAGATTTGATCCTTTCATGGTGTCTAATAGTTATACCCGTAATCAGTTTGATAACTGTGTTTACTCGAAAAAGGTTTCTATGGATTCATTTGTGTATCTTTTGTTGTATGTGGTTGATATGTTAATTGCAGCTGAAAATATGGTTGTAATTAATGACTTAAAGGCTCTACTAAAGAGTGAGTTTGAGATTAAGGATTTTGTGTGGCAAAGAATATACTGAGTATGGAAATTTGGCGTGATAGAATAGAAGAACGGCTATGAGTTTCTCAAGGAAAGTATATTGAGAAAGTTTTTATGGTATTCCATGTTGATCATTCCAAATCAGTAAGTACTCCTTTCGCGGAACACTTTAAACTTGATCAGACTATTATACCGATTACAGATGAAGAGGTTAACTACATAAAGATAGTTTCATATTCAAGTGCAGTTGGAAGTTTTATGTATGCGATGGTACGTACAAGACCGGATCTCGCTTATGCGGTTACTGTGGTGATCAGGTTTATGGCTAATCTGGGTAAAGCTCACTGGAGAACTGTAAAGTGGATCATGCGATATGTGAAAGGAGTGTCTCATATTTGTCTGTTATATGATGATAAATGTCATGATGATGGTCTGGTTGGCTATGCAAACTCCACTTACGGGGTGACTTAGTGAAACAAAGATAACTGACTTGCTTTATCTTTATTCTGTTTGGATGTATAGTTAGTTGGAAGTCTACTTTACAACCTACGGTTGCACTTTCAATGACTGAGTGATGCGAACTTGCCAATGATGACAGTTCGGATCGATTCCACAAGAATAAGTAACAAGAATATTGGAGATTTGGATAGAGTAAGGGATGGATGGCTATATATATATATCTCTATATTAATGGAGATAAACTGGACTCTCTTGAATTGAGAGGTAGTCGGGAAGGCAACACGAGAGATCAAGCTCACGTCTCACAATCCTCTAAACAAGCTGACAATACAAGCTGAGGCAAGAATAGTTCCAGTACTATTCGAGAGGCCACAACTTGTTTCAAATCACTCGAAACAACTCGATTTGGGGATATGAAGCTGTAACCGAATCACTCAAGATTACACTTAAAAAATGCACAAGAATCGCT